ATGTTGAGCACCTGTGTTCTACAATGTGCCTTTGTCACGTCTACTTCAGTTTTTTGCTGCGTTCTAAGGTGAATTGTTTCCTAGCAAAGATTACTAAACAGATGCTATTGTTAAACCAAAATACTGGAATTATTTTAGATTAGGTAAATTTACATTCATACATACTTGTGGTAACTTTTGAAAATTTATATTTAAAGCTGCAGTCATTTATTTATTTTTTTGCCAGAAGAAGCTACAAACACAATGCTGACATCAGCGATCTTGATGTAACTCTTATAAAGCTTTTATGGTGAAGGTGTTAGGGAACAAGGTTAATTGACAAACAATGGGCTAATAGAGGCTTAAACACTACTCTGGTGTGAAAAAGTGTTTGCCCCCGTCCTGATTTATTTATTTATTTTTTTCACGTTTGTCACATTTAAATGTTTCAGGTAAACAAATTAAAATATTAGAAAAAAATAACACGTAAACTCAAAATGCAGTTTTTAAATTAAGTTTTTTATTATTAATAACCATCACACTGCCACCACCATATTTTACTGTTGGTGTGATGTTCCTTTTCTGAAATGCTGTGTTACTTTTATGCCAGATGTAACGGGACACACAACATCCAAAAAGTTAAACTTTTGTCTCGTCAGTCCAGAGTATTTTCCCAGAAGTCTTGGGGCTCATCAAGACGTTTTATGGCAAAATTGAGATGAGCCTTTATGTTCTTTTTGGTCAGCAGTGGTTTTCGTCTTGGAACTGTGCCATGCAGATAATTTTTGCCCAGTCTCTTTCTTATGGTGGAGTCATGAACACTGACCTTAACTGAGGCAAGTGAAGCCTACAGTTCTTTGGATGTTGTGGGGGTCTTTGTGACTCTTGGATGAGCCGTCGCTGCGCTCTTGGGGTAATTTTGGTCAGCCGGCCACTCCTGGGAATGTCCACCACTGTTCCACATTTTCACCATTTGTACTCTCACTGTCGTTCGCTGGAGTCCCAAAGCTTTTGAAATGGCTTTATAACCTTCACCAGTTTGATTAATCTCAATTACTCTGTTCTTATTTGTTCCTGAATTTCTTTGGATCACAGCTTGATGTGTAGCTTTTGAGGATATTTTGGTCTACTTCACTTTGTCAGGCAGGTCCTATTTCTTGATTGAGAACAGGTCAGGCAGTAATCAGGCCTTGGTGTGTCTAGAGGAATTGAACTCAGCTTTCCACAGATGTGATAAACCACAGTTGATTTATGTTTTAACAGGGGGGGAAATCACTATTTCACACAGGGTCATGTAGGTTTGTATTTTTAATAATAATTAAAATAATAATAATTCTTAATAATTCTTAATAATAAAACCCTTCATTTGAAAACTGCATTTTGTGTTTACTTGTGTTATCTTTGTTTAAACCAATTGAAATATTGGTTTGATGATCTGTAACATTTCAGTGTGACAAACACACAAAAAAAATTTGAAATCAGGAAGGGGGCAAACACTTTTTCACACCACTGTATATAGAGCTGATGGGAACTGCCACATTGGGTGATAAATTCTTTATGGGTTGTCACAATGAGACACATTTTTCATGTTATACATAGTAATTTGATTGATTGCTAACATAAAAAAAAATATTGAATGGTGCTTTAATACAATAATAATTGAAACATTATAATACTTATAAACACTGTATTCTTGTCGTCCCAAAAACTGCTGTTCTGTGATATTTATGTTTTGATGACGCATCCCTTGAAAATGTTTGGCACTTGACTTTAGTTTGAGTGCTGGCCCAGCTTCATAGAGCAGACAAGTTTAGATGGCAAATGGGTTTAGATCCATTTTTCTTTTATGAGACTATCCATTATTTAACTCTGAGGGCCATCAGCTGAGTCAACATTTCGCCCTCTGGACATCATGTTCAACATGAAATGAACCAAAACCGCAACCTAAGCATCAGGGATCCCACCGACCCCAACCATTTCCCAGTAATGTTCAGGGCCGAGTGACAAATAAAGTCTTTTTGTGTCTTCACTTGATTTCTCATTTAAGTACATTTTTTTTTTTTGTTTGTTTTGGACATCTAATCTTGTATTTGCTATTTGTTATTTTTTCTCATGAAATCCCACCTTTAATATTTCCATGCTTGTACGTCAATTCAAGGTCATGCATCTCGTGAATTTGATATCTATTATTTTTTAATATTGTTTGGAACTGACAACATCTCAAATCGAATTTCAGTAGAGCATACAGACCAATACAGAAAATGTCAGCACTTTGCAGTTGCAGGTTCTCTTAACCTTACTGGCTTGCTGTTAGTATACAATCTGGCTGTGTATGTGTCTGAAAAGGACAGCTAACATGAAGAACAGAGCACAGGATCTAACAAAACATAGCAGAAAAGCTTGTGTATGAATGGTTCACCACAGATGAAGGGTGTTTTCTTTAAAGGAAAAGTGAAACTAATTTCTGTTTCTGGCCATATGTTTTGAGAGATTGTTACAGGAACCAAACCTTTGATATAGTGGAATCGTATTTAGTATTTCTATAGCATGTGTTGGTTTAGAGCTGACTTTATTCAATCCTGGTATTTGATTGATTCTTGACTACAGCTTTGAATTCAGATCACAGTTTGAGTGTTTGGCAGAACCCTTTGTGAATATCATTTTGAGGTGGAAGACTGACTCCAAAATCACTGTTAAACCGTCACGTCTGATGATTCTGTTCAGTGTTTTACTCATGCCTAACAGAAGAATGAGAGCAGGTAAGAATGCTTTCCACAGCGTCACCTCTGACGTAAACCAGTGTGATGTTTGTGCTAAAACTCTCATTACAGCAAGCATGTCATAAATTACTTTTCTCCTCTCTACAGAAGTCCATTCTTTATTCTGGTAAAAGAAGATAAAGAGAAAATCTGAGCTTAAGCGTGAATGGAGAGCTTCAATGTTGTCAAACCCACCGACTGATGTTGGTGTTGTTAAGAAGGCAGAATGTAGGGAAAAAAGTAAAACACAGCTTATTTCTTCAAAGGTGTTCATCATCGCTCTAGTGGTTTCCCATCCTGCCTTGGGAGTCACTGGGCAGTAGCTATACATACAGTACTAGGGCATTTCCTGCATAATACTCATCCTTAGAAGTAGTGTTTGACAGATAAGGGAAAGGCGTGCAGAAAAGGGTGAAACAAACAAGTAAAAAGATTAATTGTTTAAGATAATTAAATGGTAAAAGAGGGAAGATCAGTGACAAATAATAAATGGAGAGATGAGAAACATCTTCAAAATATAGTTAGTCCTTATTAATCTTGTAGAAACACAGGAAACAAGTTGAGTGTGAACAGGCAAACTTCCCACAAATGAGCCACTATTGGACCAATTAGTGTGATTTTGGTAAGGCATGAATATCAATATAGGGATATGCTGTACATTAGCTCTTCAGTAAGTTGTTTCTGAGAAATTACAATGAATAAACAGGGAGTCAGTCGCTTCACTCCTGATTCATAAATATATCATATGACCTGCAGTGTGTGGAGATTTGGCATTTGAAGGACAAATAGACTAACTAATAGACTAATAAAATAAACTAACAGAGACAAAAACTAACTGAGAACACCATTAACCAAAATGTTACAGAAACAAGACAAACATAAAACAGGAAATGAAAAGTTGAAAATTGATAATGTAGACTGAAAAAATAACCCTAAAATACCTCAAATAAAAGGCGGTGTTCAATAGAAAAAAATCATATAAAATGTGTTGTACTATGATGACTCGCATGATTAATTGATAATGTTGTGTGTTGTACAACAGAGTTAACGTTTACTAATCACCTCTACTTTGTGTTTTATTTGCATCTGTGTAACTGTTATTATCAATAAAACCCAACACTTCCTGCAGATGATTCAAAATAAAAGCCTACCAAGAAAGGGAGAACATTATACAAAGGAAACAGCAAATTAAAATGTAGAAGATTTAAAAACGAGGAGGCTTAATACTAAAATATGATCTCAAAAATGTGAACATTTGAAAGGCCTCTAATAAAAGCCTGTTTCAAAATGAGGTAAATAAAAGCTTCTATTTGAGAATTTATGGTACTATCAAAAACACTTTTGTTTACCTAACTGAGGTGAGGGATTACATGTATTAGAACAGGAAAGTAAAAATGTGTCATTGTGGGACAGCTGTTAGCTGGAGTCCACAGAACCACACACACACACACCCACAGAACAGCTCTTGAGGACACACAGGACAGGAAAGAGCACATAAGTGCAACGTGTCTCTGCAAACCCTCAGCCAAAATCTAATTACAGTCTAGTGGAAGACACAAATGTGCAGGTACTGTGTGTGTGTGTGTGTGTGTGTGTGTGTGTGTGTGTGTGTGTGTGTGTGTGTGTGTGTAGTCCCAAACTGTGTCTGGTTGTCTGTGGCAGCCTGAAATCATAGTTTGAGCATATTAAAGAAAAGCGATTATTCACCATCAGCAAACATCATTAACAGATTGAGACACTCTTTAACTAATATAAGAAATATGACAGTCTGCTGTTAACTTCTAAAACCAAGTTTATGGGTGTCATTTTACTCTCCCCTGTATGTAAGTGCAAAAAGAAAAAGAAAAGCCACCCCCGATGGTTCTGTGAAACTACTAAAACTTTGGATATGACATTCATATTGAGTGCTAATATTTGAGAGTGTGTGCCTAAGAGCAAGAGATGTTCTGCACTCAGCCACTTGGTACCCGGGGGTTTATTGAAGAAATGTGGAGCTTTAAATCTGCCAAATTACTGCCGCTTTCACTGTGAGGCGGAAACAAAGGCAGAGAATTATACCTGCAGGATGGAAAACAACATAGAGCGAGCTGACAATAAGGACGAGAAAGCAAAAGAGAAAGACAGGAAGATAGAGAGAGACAGACACAAGTAAACCAGGATAATGATCTCTCTAGATTGTGCCCTCCTGAGAGAGAGAGGGAGGGAGGGAAAGAGTTGCGACAGAGAGATTTTTTTTATTTTGTTAGGTGGAGTGACACTTACTTCTCGATGAGGTCTAACGTCACCCCTGGCACCAACTTGGCACTCTTCTGCATACAAAACCTGGGGAAAAAAAAACAGACAGGGAAAAGCTGCTGATAAAAGCTGCAAAGAAATAAGAGGTGCTCACAGACTAGACAAAGCAATAAAAATGTTTGGCCTCTACAGTACAGGTTTTACGACCTACGAGAGAGCCAATCAATGGATAAAACACTCAAATGAAAAATGAGAGCTTTGGAGATTACAACCACTGAGCGCTTTGATAAGTGTATTTTGGCTGAGTTACAGTCAAAAGGGAGGGGGCAGGTAGCTGGAAAGAGTCATATTTATGAAACGTTTGGCCTGAGGGTTATTGTTTACTGTGCGTGGTTAGCTCTGGCAGGGTGGGCCAGCTGTAAGTCACAGCAGGTTGCCGTTCAGAGCCACGACAGACGCACAGCTCGGAGCTAGAGTATGCATCCAGCAGACATGGAGCAACATTAGCATTCATTTGGAGTCATGGTTCTGGCTACCTCATGAGTGAAAGTGCAATATTCACTTTTATCTCTGGTGTGGTCATCATCAACTCCTGTTAGTGGCTATTAAACTGCTAGATGCTAACTCAGCAAACTGCCAAGTGTCTGGCTGAAAACAGCCACCTGCTGCTGCTAGAAACAAGAGCAGTGAAACCAAACCACAACAGTAAAGTTGTGCACCACAAAACCAACACATTAAAGCTAGATGCTCCAAAGAGAACTTTACGGTCCATCACTGAGTAACACCCTTGACATTACTGGTCATTTGACCCATTGTTCACATAAATACAATGAGTAGTGCAATAATAATCATAATATATTCATTTGAATACATTTCTGTTAAGTCGCTATCTATCGGATGAGGTAACACAAGAACTGGACATTCCAGGAAAATAATACTTTGTTTAGATAGATTCATATTAAAAGCATTTAACCAGTGAAACATAAGTTTACTTGTATTATAAAGTAGCCACAGAAAATACAATGTGTTTGTCAGTGAGATTGACACTGACTGCAATCGTTAATCAAAAATCAGTCTATAAAACAACATTTTGCAAGATGAAGAGCTGCAGGCGACAGGCTGCACACCTCCAACCTCTCAGCAAGGTAACCAAGACCTTTCACTGTGCGCTGCTGTTCAGACTCATGCCGTGTGCAGCATAAAATCAGATCAAGGTTGCTCACAGAATGATGGAAAAAGGCCAATTACTGTCTGACTACTTTATTAAAATGAGAATAGTTTGTTTTGTTGTCCCCACAATTCTGTGACCCTTAGTATTAAACTGTATTTGCTTTTAACACCAGTGTTGGGATCTGATAGGGGGCATATCAAAGACAATTTGCAATATGAATAAAGTTAATATTACAAAAATGACTGATAAAAGTTGAATAAATACAGAACACCACCATAGAATCAGGGACCAATAACCAAACGTGATCTCAAAAAGTGGTTTGCCCATCTATAAATGCTATTTTACATTAATAAGGAGGTCCGGTGAATCTGAGCACTGACCGTCACAACTAGCTATTATTATAACACATACACAAATAACGACAGGCAACTGCTCTAAAAAAAGTTACACTAGGATTTATTTAACTTAAGCACAGATCAATGATCAGTAACTTCTGCCGTGTGTGTGGGATAATAGAGGGGGAAAGTTGGCAAGATGGCAGATGCGACCTTCAAACATCATACAAAAATAAATAAATAAACTATTTTACATGGTGTAGTGCTGATGAATTAATGAGTCTCACTCAGTCTGGTTTGACGATAGCAGATACTTCTCTCTTCTCTCTTCTACTCTTACCACACGGCAGTAGGGTGAACAGGCTGTGTTTAGGTGGGTACTCAGGGCTCCAGACTCACGTTTTGCATAGGTTGTTGCCGTAGTGCGCCTACATTTTTAACTAAGGTGCACACAAATTTTTCACAGCACCTTTAGCGCCATAACAGTATATTCTAACCTTCTGTCATTTCCCATACACACACTGATATTTATGTAAACAGGAACGCCTACGTATGTGTAATGGGAAGCACAGCACTTCTTCTCGAGTTACCAGTGGCCTGCCATGAGTTTAATTTTCGTCCCAGGATGAGTAGCCAGTTAAACGCAATTTTAAAAACACACACACACACACACCTTTGTTCTCATTGTAAAAGACAATCAGAGGTGAAGAACTGCTAATTAACAGTACTGCGTCAGATCAATGCCGTTGGTTAGGCTGCCGTTTACCCCCCGGAGCGTACCCTGTGCCGTAGCCTGCCGGCAACACACACACACAAATAGAGATGCGGCCAAATTGGTCTGGAGCCTTGGTATTGGCTTTTAGTATTCACTGATCCTCGGTAGATGGTAACTAATGAACTTCTGAGCGGTTTAAGCCACCCGCTGCAGAGCCCTCCAGTCGTGGGCCGTGCACATCCCATGCCAGTTGGTGATGTTTCCAGGATGCTTTCTACTGCTCCTCTGTAAAAGCCGACAAGAACTTGGTACGGGAATTTGGCCTTCTTAGATTCCTTAAGAAATGCAGCAATCAGCTCCTTTGCTGACGTCGAGCAGTAGGTTGTTCTCTGAGCACCCCTCCGCAAGATTATGAATGTCCTCCCGAAATGAAGTCTGATCGTTGTTTGCAATCCGTCCGATGATGATGATGGTGTCATCCACAAACTTCACAACAGACTTCTCTCCATGTCAACAGGAGGGGGCCCCCGTGGAGGAGTAATGTGGCCTCACACAATAGGGGAGGTCCTGCTTTTGTAGCCTGTGATGTTTTTGATTGCCTGCCACATATCTTTGGTGTGAGATCTGTCCAGTCTCTGTTGATGTCTCCGCTTCGCCTCCTTGATGCCAGCTTTCAGTCAGTGATAATGTATATTCCTCAACAGTGATGTGGTTCCTCTGGGTGGGGTCCTCTCTGAACATGTGCCAGACTGTGCTCTCAAAACGGTCCTGTAGAGCTGCTGTAGCCTCATCTGTCCTCACTGATTTTTTTACTATTAGTTTGACCTCAAGTAAACCTGCCTACTTACACCCAGCTGTTTAAAAGGGTCAAACACAATATAAACAACATCTGGTTATTTTGTTCATGTGACTGCTGATGACCCTTATACAGTTCCTGTAATGTTAAAATTGTGATTTGGCTTTTTTACAAAGTTTTAAGTCATGATTATAAGTTCTGAAATGGTTTTGACCGTAAGGACTAGACAGTTTCACCTGACCTGAATTTGACAAAAAAATTGTTGTTGAAATTGTATAGTGTAGAATAAAATCACAAGGTTCAACAACTGAAGCCTGGAAGAGAATTCAAGAATTTATAGAAGGCACGGATTGGGATATTTGTCTCCAACAACTGATTCACCATGACTGTGACATAAGCACCGGCAATCACATTCAATTGTTCTTCCTAATGCTGGAAATTAATGAGATCCCACATGACACCAGTGTGTGACTTAATGTCTCTTTAAAGAACAGCACGGGCCCTGGGTGTGCCCGACCCTCAAGGAACAAAGAGGAGAAAGGATGTATCCAGGACAACTTGTTCTAAAGTCTTAATGATCAGCAACTTCCTGAATGCAAGCCATGATGTGCAAAATGTGCACTGGTGTGTGCCAGCACTTTGCCGTTTGCCAGGAACACAGGTATATCATTGTTTCCCCAATACAATGCAATCCAAGACGTTTATTTTTGAATTTCAATTGAACCACAGATTAAAGATTTTGTTGATGTTTTTGTCTGCACTTGCCGCAAAAGGGATATGGTGAATCCCCAGACATAAACAGAGATGATTAACTAAAAAGGGAGCCTGGCAGAAACAGACAGACGGGCCCAAAGTAAACAGAGCACAGACCGAGCAGGAGGTTGCATCAGGGAGAGCGTGTTTTAACGCAACCCCTGAGCGAGGAGATCTAAAATCCCTCAGGCAAAAATTGGAGGAGGGAGAAATAAGGAAGGAAAGAGCAGGAGAGGAGAGGAGCATTTGGTCCCACCAGTATCTTTAGTCATCTTAATCCACAACCTGCCTTAGAAAAAAGCCATGTTTGTGCTTAAAAATGATCAAACAGACTATAATATTCTGATCACACACTGCGACTGCGAGAAGTGATTCTGCGAGTCATTGTAATCATAGTATATGAACCCTAAATGATTTCCCTCTGGCTTGTTTATCTTTTCTAATACCAAAACTATGAATCCACCACAGCAAGTGACTATGTTTACTGCTTAGCAATGAGACAAAGGAACCAAAGGTAAATCTTTAAAATGGAAAATGTGTTTTCAGGTGTGTGATCCTGCTGTAAGAAGACGGAAATTATGTATAATATGGGTATCAATCTATGGTATGCAGCCAGGAGCTAAACATCATCCCTGTGACAAACTCGAGGGGAATCAGACAGAGATGCAGATGATTCTTTTATTTCACAGACCTCAATGCATTCTACAAGATAAAATGTCACTCTGAGACTGAATGGTTTGAATGAGTAGTGAGGACAGTGGAGAGCTTTTAAAGGCACTTGTACAGTATCTTTTCAAATCTTTCATCACTCTGGTCTCACCTTAAACTCACTGGGTTTGTAAAGTATCTGCTGAATGCAGTTCAGCCAGGTGACGCACTGAATTTGCTGATTAGCAGTGCATTTACACTAGTACCTTCAAAAGGAAAAACATATCACACAGGTGTAAAGTAAATGTTAAGCCTCAAAGTGGGACACAACAGGACATGACTCAAGCATCAGTCCGCCAGAGTTGACCGGACAGCTTGCTTTTGGTTCCAGTCAGAATATTTTCTGAGACTGAAAAAACAGCTGGACTCCATTTTCTTTTAGGATTTTCTAGTCAACTTCTAATTCAATGCATGCACTAGATGATTTGAAAAATAAATATTAAGTGAGCAGTAAGATTTGTTTCAGGGATCAGTCTTGCATCAAAAGGAAATTGCAAGGATCACTAATGTAAAACTGATAATATAGTTTACATTTGGCTGATTGCCCATCTTGCTCACATGTTATTGCACATTTGACCTGGTGATGGTGACTTTGTTTGAATTTAAAAGA